TGCTACTCCTTTGGTATATTTTACTAATAGGAGTTTTAAACTATATTTGTGAAAAGTGACATTTTAACTTAGCTTAGTGAATGGAACAGAATTTCTTGAGTTAAAGAGTCTTAATTAGGAGCAAGTAGGTGTCATGGATGTTAAGGCACTGGATTCTTCCGTGGCCAACTCCATGATTTGAGTGCCGGACATGGTAGCTTGAAAATCACACTAAGCATATATGCGTTCATGCCCAAGATCCCAAGAGGAGAGTGTAGAAGAGACTGTGGAGTGGCCATATTTCTCTCCCTCTCTGTCTCTGACAAGTTCACAAGCCCTACTAAAGTAAATAAAAATAAAAATCTTCACAGTTGTTGTTTTTATTAGCAGTTTACTAATTCTTTAGTAATATAATATCCTGCTTAAAGCATCTTTCGGTAAAATAGACACTGGGAAGAAGATGGAAATTTTCTTTAACTATTTGACTTCTGAGATTTTCTATGAGCTTGAAATGTCTAGGAAGAATCTTTTTTTATTGTTGTTTTGTAAGAATTGAATATATAAACAAAATACAGAAAATAAACATAGCAACCAAATATTTTTGTTTGTTTAGTGATTTTAAAGACACTTCACCAATAAGTACTTTAAATATATATATATATATATATATGAAGTTATCACTGCAAAATAATGTTTACCTTCCTATGGAATAGCTTTACAGTTTCAGATATTAACCAAGGAAAACATGACTCATGCCGGTAAAACAACCTGCAAATCTTGAATAATGTTCTCAAACTTTAAAATCATAAGAAAGAATATACTGAAAGGAAATAGCTGGGGCCTTGCAGAATAAATCCTTGGCCCAGAGTGTTCTCCTGCTAGCTACAGGACAGAAAAAACCAAAAAAATAGACGGTAGCGATGAATTGAAAGTGAGGAAAAGAAATACCTTTATTTTGGTGTATTTACCTGATTCATGCAGTTATCCTTGACATATATTAAGCCAAGTAAATAGAACTGTATAGGTAAGTTTTCTGTGAACTGAATGGTACTTGGTTCCAGTACTAAGGAGATGAGAGAGAGAGAAAACACCTATATTAATTATCCATGCCAGAAACCAAATTTATTTTGGTCATTATTACTGAAAATTCTGGGAGGTCTCTAAGTAGATTGCTATTTTAAAATAGATTTATATACTTCATGTTTTCTACCTAAAATCTTAAAATGTTTTGATACTCCTTTAAATAATTCATGTAATCTGTTAATGTATCTGAATGGATCTGTAAAGCTAAGTTTAGTGATATTACTCATTGGTTTTCCTACATAATATTCTCCGATCCTTTTCTGTCAATAGCTGCTCACAATATCGTGGATACAGTTACATTAAAAATAATCTGAATATTGTAAAGGACAGGCGTTGGTATTAGGTAATACGAGTTACCATCCTGAGTGTATTGCCAAATTATCGTCATCTTAGACCAGTAATACAAACTTTGTGTGCTTAAAACTTCTTAATAATAAGATTTCTTGATAATATTTTTCTTAATAATAAGAAAATGAACACATATTATCCAAATCTTTATAGTAAGGAAAACAGTATATTTTACTTTCAAATGTAAATCCATCTGGCACTAGGAAGGCCAGAAGGCTCTAAAATCAGACTGTCTCCAAGTTTAGGTAAGAACAAAACATGCTATGGAAAGGGGGGAAAATTGACCAGATGAAGGCTAATAGCAAAAGTCACATTTGACTGTATTTTTTTTTTTTTTGGAGAGGTTTTTGCTATAGGGCACATGCGCTCACCAGACAGAGAGAGACAGAGACAGAAAGTGAAAAATCACCCCCTAGGGGGGATGGCCACGCTGCAATCCCTTCTCCTCCATTCTCCTCTTGGGATCCTGGGCACGCACACACACGCGCCGGCGTCAATCTTAAGCCACCGGGTCCGGGATGAGTCCAGCGACATAGCCATTACGCTAACTGCTGGTCCCACATTTGACTGTTTTTCTCAGCCATGGGGATTGTATTTATGATTTATTTTATCAGTTATGATTTTTTTAACTTTATAATAATCAGACTACTGCTGATTTTTAATATAGCATTCACTTGATTGTCAAGAACTGTTATAATTTACAGAGAACTTTATATTCTTGAGTAAGATTTTTGATTCCTTGGACCTCTGTCTAGTAGATTTCTTTTGTTCTCTTTTCCTATATAAATATTGTATCATTGGAAAAGTCATTATGTATTTTTCAATCTTTTTCTATGCAAAAATGCATCATAAGTTTTCCAATGACCCAATACTTAGTGTATTGAGTACGATATTCTACTCCCTCTGCCCTCCGGATGACTTCATTACCCAAGGGTCTGAAATAACAGCTTTCTCATGCCCCTCCAGCCAGCCCCCAAGCAGGGCATCATATTCTTCCGTATAGTTTTTCCAAATTAAAAAAAAAGTATATGTGAAAGCAATTAAGCAAACTTAATTTTAAATAAGTAAATATCCGACTATGTTTCAGGACTTGATCAGGTACAGTTTATTGTGTCATATTCACAACACCGAAAGCCACTTGTGTGTATTAAAATATAGAGTTTTAAAATTATAGTATGGTCCCTTAATAAACTTTAAAATTCTCCATACACATCCCATGTATTTCTAGAGATCTAAAAATTATCTTTGAGGCGTAGCGATTGACTAGGAGTCATAGTGCATGTTTTAAGAGAATTACGAGAATGATCACCTCCTTCCAACTGGTCTATTTTCTGTGTGTGTGTGTGTATGTGTGTGTGTGTGTGTGTGTGTGTGTGTTTTAAGAGATATTTGCCTTATGGAGGGAGAGAGAGAGACAGAGACAGTGAGAAATCACCCCCACGAGGGGGGTATGATCACCCATAGTCCCTTCTCCTCCATTCTCTTTCTAGGATCTTGGACATGCATGAACACATGCCAGGTATGATTTTCAAGTCACTGAGTCCAGGACTCGAACAGTTGGTCATGTGGAAGCCCAGTGACATAATTACTAGGCCATCTGCTATCCCCAGGCTGGTTTCTTTTGTTATCTTTTTTTTAATTTCCTCCTTTTTTTTTTGGAGAGGTTTTTGCTATAGGGTATGTGCACTCGCCAGAAATACAGAGAGAGACAGAGAGACAGAAAGTGAGAAATCACCACCCAGGGGGGATGGCCACGCCACAATCCCTTCCCCTCCCTTCCCTCTCGGGATCTTGGGCACACACACACACCGGCGTGAGTTTAAGCCACCGGGTCCAGGACTCGAGCCGCAGTCATCTACATGGGAGTCCAATGACATAGCCATTATGCTAACTGCTAGTCCCATTACCTTTTCATTTTTTTATGAAGTATTTGCCTTAGGGCACGTGTGCTCACTGGAGGGAAAGAGAAATCAATGCCCTCCCTGGGGTGGAGCAGGAAGAATGCCACGCCACAATCCTTTATCCTCTAATCTATTCTCCTCTCGGAATTTTGGGCACGCATGCACATGCACCTGGCATGAGTTTCAAGCCACCAGGTCTGGGGCTCAAACCGCAGTTGACCATGAGAGAGTCCAGAGATAGAAGAGCTACACCATCTTCTGGCCCCCAGGGCTGGTTTCTTAACCTTTTGTTTCTTCATATTCTCATATATATATATTTTTTCTCATATATATATTCTCATATGTGTGTGTATATATATATATATATATAAATAAAGTAAAGTAAAAAATACTAACTCAGGGCCAGCAGGTGGCATCGTGTTTAAGATACTGGACTCCCATGTGGCCAGCCATGTTTTGAGTCCTAGACCTGGTGGCTTGAAACTCAGGCCAGGCATGTTGTGTGTGCTTGCCCAAAATCCTGAAAGGAGAATGCTAGACAAGGGATTTTGGCCTGACCATCCCCCCCTGGGGAGTGATTTCTCACTTTCTGTCTCTGTGTTTGTCTCTCTGGTAAATGAACATGCTCTGAAGCAAAAAAAAAGACTCTCAAAAAAAAACCAAAAACTGAGTCATAGGATCATTGTTACTATTCAAGTATTTGTTACTACATGTAAAACACATAGAGTAATACTTTGTATATGGACACCATGAATTGAGGTTTTGGTTATCATGTAAATGCCCAGACTTCTGATTCAGACTTTACTTTTATCCCCTTCCTTGGTTCTAGTTCAATGGTTGCCACAAGGTGGTGTGTGTGGTGTTACTATATCTGGCTGTATTCAGTAATTTTCTGCATGTTTGTGTCTAGCTACCTATTCATGTTGTGCTGTCTCTATAACATTTTATAGTATAGATATATAATAGATGAGACTGCATTATATAACGTAAATCTCAACACAGTACCGGCTACACAGTAAGATACTGAGTGGATCAGGTGTGAGTAGTTAAATTAATCTCCCTGCATTATGCTCAGGTCAGTTCATTCACTCTCCCAAAATGTGTTCATTTTCTATAATTCTCTCCTGTTCATTGCTTTTCTATCTTCTGCATATTTATTTTGCCTTTGAAGATTACTTTACTATATTACTTTACTATTTTCAGTGGAAATAATGATGCTTGTTTTTTTTACAAGTTTTTGAGGCTGAAATGGACATATGTTAATGCTAATGAAAAGAATAGTACGTGGTATACAGTAGACATTTTATAGTTAATAAATATGGTTGCTATTTCAATATTGTAATTAAGTGAGCCGTTAACTGTGTGATGTATATTCATTAGTGGGTCATGGACTATATCCCCCTCAATTATTTGAGTATCTGCGTTTGCCAGATACATTTGCGAGGTATAGTTCGATATTGGGAACTGTAGAGCTGAACAAGGTAGAATGGGTCCCTGCCCTCCTAAGACTTAATATTCTCAGGGGAAATATCACCATCTGACATGTTTCTTCATAGTATATTTAGATTCAGTGTTTGGAGCCTTTTTCTTCACACCCTTCTAGATTGTTTCAGTAGGTCATTGACTAGATGGCCATTGTTTCTGCTTTGTAGAGGACTTATGCTAATTGCTGTGTTTTTCCTCTGACAGCTCTTTCAAGCATTTGATTGGTGGGCTGGATGACGTTTCCAATAAAGCATATGAAGATGCAGAAGCCAAAGCAAAGTAAGTTTTTTCTAGTCCTTAATCTTGATTTTTTAAAAAAATGGTTTTTAATAGAAAAAGAATTAAAAATCTTTTTGGACTTTGTTAAGTCCAACGCATTGACAGAAAAAAAAAATAGCTAATTAGTTTAGAAGAAAATGAGACAAACTCTTTAAGGTAATTTTACATAACATGCTTACTTAGTAAGCATAAAACCTTAAGTTTTTCATGTTAGACATGAAACCTTAACTTTTTGATGAAAATCATGTCAACAAGGGAAAATGATATGTATAAAATTCAATATAAACAATTGAATATAAGCACATTATTTCTCTTACTAAAAATACTTTCTGAACAAATAGTGGCTGTATCCAGTAGTTGTTTATAAAATTATATGAAGATTATAAGGCTAAAAATGTTTTTCTATATGAATTCATTATTACTTTACCCTGAATTTTGGTGTTACTAATGTGAGAATGATACAAGATAAAAATCACATTAATTATCATTATTGTACAAAAGTACAGTTCTATTTATAAGGATTATATATATTAAAACAAAACAACTTTTTGACAAAAATTGAAATTAAGTTGAGATGGCCTTTTTCTTCAGTTTTTAGATGACAAAAAAAAAATCACACAGTAATCTAATGCAGTTTAGTATTTGTTATTATACAAGACATTTAAAAAATTAAATTGACAAAATTTAGCACTAAGTAGATAGTTGATGGTTAGAATTTGGTTGGTTCTGTAGTAACTGAAAAATCCAAAGAAATAAAATAATTCATTTTTATTTGAGAAGGTATGAAGATGAAAAGTGTAACCTACAACTTCAATATTAAGGACTATGCCCATGTTAACCTGATAAAATGATTTTCAAAGCTATATAAATACATTCACAACTCCTCCTCTATGTAATATGCTTTGCTTTTTTCTCAACTTTGGAGGGACATAGACTCAAACACTGAGGGTGAATTCCAGCAGTACCTCCATCAAAATTTGCTTCAGAAATTGGACTGGCCAGTTTCAACACTAAACTCCACACACCCATTGGGATTGCCAATACTCTGGCCAATTAGTATTAATCTTTCTAGCTTTCTACAAGAAACTAAAATGCATTTTGGTGCTAAGTGTAGACTTTAGTTTCTGGAATTAGTACTAATTCCACTGAGATGGCAATGTTTCATCCAATACAACGAAAACTAATACAACGAAATCCAGATCAGAAAAATTGCAAGGTAGGTATGGTAATAATTCTGCACATTAGAAGAGAGCCTGTCACTGTAGAAAAACAGGAGCCTGCACCAGAGCTTGGGTTCTGCTCCCAGCTCTGTCATTCCCTGATGAATAATTTGATCATGACTCCTAATACCAGTCTCTCATTCTCAGTTATTGCACCTTTAAAATGGTATTTTTGATATTTAATTGATGTAGTATGTAGAAATATTTTGTAAATTATTAAGGTATAAAATACATGCTGTTGTTGATAGAAATAATCATTGGAAATATATATTAGTGCATTTAATGTAAAGTTGGACTTATAGATAATTATTCCATATCTGTTAATGGAAAACTGATTTTATCTAACCAAGAAGTTGTTAATCTTGTATAAACAAAATATGCTTATTTGGTATCATATCATGAAATTAAATCTAGCCTTAAAAATATCCAAAAATATCTTTTTTATAAAATCAGTAGCAGTTGGTTAAAAGAGTTGAATTATGACTAAAGAACAAAGAGCAATGAAATGCCTATCTTCATCAAAGTGGTTCCAAATAGTGTTATTTGACCCATAGATTCGATAGATTATAATTTAGGCATTGCTGTGGTTTTGAATGTTCCCCCAAAATCCATGTTGATTTGCTTTTGAAGGGATTAAGAGAGTGAAAAGGTAATCTGATTCTGGTGCTGCAGAGTGTGGTTTTTGGGAGGAGATTGGGATGAAGGTCTTTGGGGTGAGGCGGCCATGACCTAGTTCTAGTGGGTTTATAAAGAGATGGAGTGAGTGTAGAACAGAGAGAATCTGATGGACACAGCCACTCTGCTTGGCTCTTCCCTTGTGATGAGAGTGGATCTCTGCAAGTGCCTCACCAGAACAGGCCCCTGGACATTAAGTCCTCCAAACCACAAACTGAATAAATATTCTTTTAAATTACTTAGTTTCAGGTATTTTGTGCTATTAGCAACAAAACAGACTAGGATAACCACTATATTTATACTTTTCTCTTTAGTTTTATTGAAGCATAGCTGACAATAAAAACGTTGATTATACAAGTGAGGGTATACAATGTGATGATTTGAAACATACAATATGTATACACACACATTATGAAATCACACTGAGGCCAAAATTAACACATTCACCACATCACATAGTTAGCATTTTCTCTGTGTGTGATGAGCATCCTTAAGATGGACTATTGAGAAAATTTCAGTTGGAATGGATTTGTTTGAATTTTTCTGTTTCAGTCATACTAAACCTGAATGAATGCATAGCCCATATTTCTTAACATTGGTTATAATTTAGAAAGTGGGAACATCTTCATGAAAAAAAATGGCTTAACCTTTATCTGAATTCTAGAGTTATTGCAAATATGACCTTTATTCCCCCCTCCCAAATAGACAAACAAATAAAGGCTGAAGGAGGTACTGCTATGCTTTTATACTTTTAGTATTTTATAGCCTTCTAATAAATAACTGATGTCTGAAGTTTCTGAAGTTAGAAGTTCTCTCTTATTTCGGTATCCTAACACTCAGAAAAGGCAAATTGTGAATTTTCCCCCAGGGAAAGCTTTTTAGTTGAACTAACAAACTTAAACATCTATTCGTATTAGCATCCTTGTCTCTGTCTATTGAATCTCTTCCCCTTAAGTATACTATATCTTCACTTCTATTAAGGGGCTTACCAAATTTGCCAGCACTGCAGACACTAGAAACAGGCTCTAATTGGTCTAAACTCCCTGGATAATTCTGTGAATGCCTCTGCATTTCGATAAAGATCACAAATTCTGGACCATTTAGCCCTGAGGTATTGATTTGACTCTACTGTGTAAGCTTTATTTTTTCAAGGTCCCCTTAATTTTATAAAATCTATGAAGATAAGAAGAGTGCCTCTTAAAGCCCAACTAAAATGATCATGTTATTTATCCACGTGGAGTTGTCCTTGGTTTTATTTCATTGACTATGCCTATTTGGGTAAGAAGAGAGAAAGGTACGGCTGACTATAAAAGCTGATTGAGTTGAGACATTTAAAAACTCAACTGTGAGATGCTCAGTAACTTAGCATAATCAGGCTCCATGGAGTATGATTCCAGAAAGTGTGTAGGTTTTTCCTTTCACAAAAACCATACCAAGAATAAGCTGAGGTAGCTGATTTAGGAAAAGCAGCTTGGAGAAACACCCCAGTGAGATGGTTCTCAAACTTCTCTGCTATAGGAAATATGCTCTCGGTCCATCTCACAAGATAAATTTCTGCACAAAATAATTACTCTTGACAGAAACCTAACCTTGATGGCATGTTTAGCCTCTTTTGATTGCTGCTAATTATCCACTGAGGACTTTTCATTTTTAAAATATGAAGTTACAATCACAAAGACATTAGAGAAGACAGCATCAGATCAAAGTTAAGGATGATTAACCTTATTTGGAGAAGAAAGTAGCCTGTGTGCTGGAAGGTACATTTTTTTTTCCTTCGAAATGAAATATTCGTTCATTTAATAGTATTTAGAAATTTATTTAAGATGAGTCTGGCATTGTATTTTATAGCATGCATACCAAGCAAAAAACAAGATTTCCAATACTAAGAATTGTCTTACAGTTTAGTGGGGAAACTGATGATATTTTCACTATTTACTTATAAAAACAAGTTATAAGTTATACTATTATTACACTGTTTGGGTAGATGAACAGTATTGCTTTCCCTATTTAAACCTTGTCTTGCAAAAGTCATAATCACCCAGACACTGAAAGAAAAACATAACTTCTATTTCATGATGTTAAGTATTTCTGATACATAAACACATACAAGTTATTTTTAAATAAAGTAGTTTCGAGTTATACTGTGGCTGATGTTCTAATTGGCGAACACTGTACTCAGTGGTTATAGACAAAACAGCTCTTTCTTTAAATAGAAAGCCTAAATATGTATACATATATTTCAACTTAACTTGTTAATTTTAATTATTTATTATAAAAAGTATTAATATAAAAGTTGCATTCTTACTAGGTGATTTACACATGGCACAGCTATATTCCCATATTAAGATCACACAAAGAGTGGACAAAAATGAAATATTTTTATTTATAGTGATGTTTATCTCTACTAAAATGTTTTATACTTCCACTTTATTTTAGCATTTTTGCCAGAGGGCTTGTGTGCTCACCAGAGAGAGACAGAGAGAGAGAACGAGAGGAAAAGTGGGGAAACACCCCCCTCCATGGGGTATGATCACACTGATACCTGTTCTTCTCCATCTGTCCCTCCTTTCAGGATTTTGAGCATGCATGCATGTGTGCCTGGTGTGTTTTTAAAGCTGCTGGGTCCTAGACTCAAATTGAACCACGTCATCAACCATGTGAGATCTAGCCACTTAACCACCAATCCATAGGCTGGCCTACTTCCACTTCTAATAGGAATAATATGGCAAGGTAGATAAAGAAAAAGAAAACAGCTGTCTAAACCATTGAAACACAACTGCTATTAGCTATCTTAGTGTTTTATAATTATATGTGTATTTACAATTTGTACCTTTTTTCCATTTAGCATTATTATATTATAAACATTGTAATACTATTATATACTCTTTATAAACATCATTTTGATAGTGGCCTGATAATACAATGAATGGAAACTTAATATCCTAGACTGTTTATTGTTGTAACTTTATTGATGGAATTCATTTTGCTTTTTGAAGAGAAGATCTCAATCACTTCCTCAAAACAAAAAAGTCCAAATATGTCCCATTTATCAGTGCTCTCTAAATTACTTTCTGTCATTACATTCCCAGAAAATTGATACAATATATT